CCACGCTGTGAAAAGGGGCGTGTCCCGCCATGATCCCCTCCCTGCAGGGCTGGTGTCGGTGCTGGTGCCTCTGTATGTGGGGGAAGTGGCTCCGCTGCGGCTCCGGGGGGCTCTGGGGACCCTCCACCAGCTCGGCATCGTCATCGGCATCCTGGGGGCACAGGTGGGCGGGGCCTGCGCGGGTGGGATCCGCGAGGGCAGGGCCTGCGTGGGAGTGGTGTGATGAGGCGTGGCTCTATGGGGGAGGGGTCATGGGTGGGGCCCTGGGGACCCTCCCTTAGCTTGGGAGGAACATCTAGGGATGCAGGGGGGCGGGGCCTGGAGGGGAGAGAGCGGGGCCTGGGAGGGGACATGAGGGCGAGGGGTCGGTGGGGTCCCAGGTGGAATCATCATCCGCAACCTGGGGGCACAGGTGTGCGTGGACAGAAGGGGAAGGGGCGTGGCCTAAAGTGGCAGGGTCATTAGGGGAGGAGTCCAAGGGGCAAGGCCTGAGGGGGCAGAGTTTGATGGGGGGGGGCTATCTGGGAGGCCAGGAGGGGTCACAGGGGGGTTGGGGTCACAATATGGCCCTAAATCCTGCCATAGGTGATGTCGTTCCGCGACAAACTGGCCCCATATTGTGACATGTTGCACTTTGTCGGGCCACAGCGCCCCCTTACGGCTGCATATCGTGACATGTTCACATAGCAATAACCCTGCCCCCCATATCGCGACATGTCGCCCTTTTTGGTCCCATATCGCCCCCCTATCGCGCGATATCACACGATATCGAGGCCTATCGCCACATGTAGTGCTCCTCCCCTGCCCCGCAGGTGCTGGGGCTGCGGGCGCTGCTGGGGACGCCGAGGGCGTGGCCGGCGCTGCTAGGGGCGGGGCTGGTGCCGGCGGCGCTGCAGCTGCTGCTGCTGCCGCTGTGCCCCGAGAGCCCCCGGTTCCTCCTGGCGCGGGGGCAGCACGGCCGCGCCCGCCGTGGTGAGTGACCCTCTTCCCACCCCCCAACCCCTCCGGGGCCGCCTCCCAGTCCTCCATCTCCTTCCTCTTCCTCCTCCTCCATCCTCTTCATCCTCCTCCCCTCCCCCCCTTTTGCCTTCCTCCCCCTCACTGATCCCTCCTCTTGCTCCTCTCCATCCCCCTCTTCCTCCCCCTCCTCTCCTTCCTCCTTACTTCTCTCCCCTCCCTCCCCTTCCTCCCTCCTCCTCCTCCTCACCCTCGCCCCTCTTCCCTCCTCGCCCAGGCCTGTCCCGATTGGCCGGCCCAGCGGCGGAGGCGGGGCTGGCGGCGCTGGAGGCGGAGCTCGGACGAGGCTCCGCCCCCCGTGTGGGGCTGTGGGAGCTGGTTCGGAGCCGGCGGTTCCGGCAGCCGCTGGTGGTGACGGTGGGGATGCAGCTGGCCCAGCAGCTCTCGGGCATCAACGCGGTAACGTTTGGGGAATTCAGGGGCGGAAAGGGGCGGGGTTTGGGGAGAAAGGGACGGAGCCTGAAGGGAAAGGGGGAGGGTTAAAGGGAAGGGGCGGGGATTAAAGGGGAGCAAAAAGTGGACAGACCTAAAGGGGCAGGGCCCAGAGGGGAGGGGCATAAAGGGGAGTGACCTGAGTGGGAAACGCCTAAAGGGGAGGGGCTTAAAGGGGCGTGGGCTGAGGAAGAGGGGCCTGATTAGGCAGAACCTCAATGGGTGGAGCCTAGAGAGGAGTGGCCCAAAGGGGAGGGGCCAAAACCGGTGTGGCCTCAAGGGTGTGGCCTGGGTGGGGCCAGCAGGGAAAGGGGGTGGGCAGGGGAATGGGTGGGGCTTAACAGGGTGTGGCTCAAGGGGGAGGAAGAGTGTCCCAATGCCAACTATGTCCTCCCTCCCCCCCGCAGATCTTCTATTACTCAACATCAATCTTTGAGGCCGGGGGGCTGCGGGACCCCACCCTGGGCACCATCGGCACCGGCGTTGTTAACGTGGCTGCCACCGCCCTGTCGGTGAGGGACACGCCCAGGGGGAGGGGACAGGGATGGAGACACACCCAGGGGGAGGGGACATGGATGGGGACACACCCAGGAGGAGGGAACACAGCTAGGAACACGCCCAGGGGTGGGCTCTGGGGGTGTGGTCTCAGGCAGAGTCTAAAGGTGTGTGGGGTCAGGGGGGCGTGGTCTTATTGGTGGGTGCGGTCTCAAGGTAGGTGTGGTCTTACTGGCGGGTGAGGTCTGGAGGGGGAGGTGTCTCATTGGTGGGCGGGGTGTAATGGTGGGTGTGCTCTCACTGGTGGGCTTGGTCCCATGGGGGCGGGGGTCTCGCTGTGGGTTGAGTCAGATGTGTGGGCAGGGCCCTGAGCGTGGGATCACTTGGGGTGGGGTCTCCACCAGTGGTGGGCTCTCACCTTGGAGGGGAAGGAGTCCTGATCGGCCATGTCCATCGGTGGGTGTGGTCGGTGAGTGGGCGTGTCCCTGGCTGAAGCCCCGCTCCCCCATCCCCGCAGGTGGTGCTGGTGGAGCGGGCAGGGCGCCGGATCCTGCAACTGGTGGGGCTGCTGGGGATGATGGGCTGTGCTGGGACCCTCGGAGTGGCCCTCAAGGTGAGATTGGGGACCCCCAAAAACCCCCTGACCCCCCCCCCAGCCCCCAAATCCTCGCAGATCTCTCAAACCCACCCAAATCCCCCCATTTCCCCCCCTCCCCACTGCCCTGTCCCTGATCTTTTTGGGGTTCTGCCCCTGCCCCTGACACCCCCCCGCTTTCCGAGCTGGGGCATCCCTTTGTGGGGGGGGGGGGGCCTCAACACCCCGAGCCCCCATTTTCCCCTTCCATCCCCCAAAACACCCCTTGTTACCCTCTCTATTCCCCCCCACGTGTGATTTTGGGGGTCTCCCCCTTGACTGAAATTTTGGGCTGTCCGCCCCGCAGCTGGGGGGCCCCGCGTGGGGGGGCGTGGCCTTGGCGGCCGCCCTGGCCTTCGTGGCTTTCTTCGCGGTGGGGCCAGGACCCCTCCCCTGGTTCGTGGGGGCCGAGCTGTTCCCCCCCGGCC